AGTGTGTAAAATGGAACGTCTTAAGGGTTGGATGCGTTCAAAATATGGTAATACCCTCGAAGTAAAATAAGCTTATAAAAATATTTAAAAAAAAAATTCTTTTAATATTGTGATAAGTGTAAATTAGTCTTAACCTTTAAAAGAGCAATTCTTGTACATATATATATTTATATATACACACACCTAATCGGAATCTCGGAAACGGCTCCAGCGATTTTCATGAAATTTAGTATGTGCGTATATTCGGGGGCGAAAAATCATTTTTAGAAAATGTCCTTTCGAATATGATGGTAAATTTCGCCGCAAAAAAATGTTATAATAGCTCGGTCGGTAATCGGACGGCCCCAAAACAGACGGCCGCGGTTCTTATCACGATCATTTACACACTATTTTTTTTTTACTTTTTTTTCGATTCTAGATCATTGCTTTCTTTCCTGTTGCTGTTCCTTGCTGTTCCTGCGAAAAACCTAGTGCGAATCATCGGCAACCAGTACGAAGAACTCACTGAGTTAATTTATCTTGGAGTATTCCCGACTTAATTACTCCTGATCTTAAAAGAAAATTGAAAGCTCTTTTGATTAAAAGAGCATACACATTACCTCCAAAATGTTTGAAGGACAATTTTTCGTAGTTTTAAAATTATTTCTTACTTTAATATAATTATCTTCATCATTCATCATCATTTCAGCCTGAGTCCACTGCTGAACATAGGCCTCCCCATAGACTGCTATCTTATTTAAATAAAATCAATTATTTAAATAAACAGTTGTACAATCACCTATTATCTATATATATAAAAATGACTCCCTATTTCCCTTGGTCACGCCATCACGCGTGAACGGCTGGACCAATTTCGCTAATTCTTTTTTTATAATATTCCTTGAAGTAGGAAGATAATTCTTACGGAGAGAAAAATTTTAAAAATTGCCTGAAAAAGTGTAAAACAACACTTTTCTATATTCCCGTACAAAATATTAGTAATAATACTTAAGTCAAATTCAACTTTAATACCATACCATAAAGTTTAAGTCACTTGAAATGTAAACGTCTCTTTGCAGTACTCACTTGTGAATTTTCTTTGTTGTCATCAGGAAATAACATTAAAAAAATGAATAAAAAAAAAGTTAGCTGCATGTTTGAATTCTAAATAAGATAGGATTACAAATTTTGTATTTCGCGGCAATTCGCTACTACTAACGATTTGACGTCAACTCCGCGTTAAACGAGCTATCAAGATGCTGGGCGATACAAATCGTATCAGATATGAAAACTAGATATTAGTACAATATCCGAATATCGCTTACTGGCTCGTTCAATATCTATGTATTTTACAATATCTGATATTTCCGAAATCTGATGTACCGTGCTCGCTCGCTATACCGACACGAATCGCGACATCATACGCGTTTGCCACAATATCTAATTTTTAAACAGATTTCGAGAGACAAAGCGCGTGAGATACAAATACTCACTAGTTAGAGCGGGACGGCAAGCAATGCACAATATCAGATTTTTAAACAGATTTCGAGCGACAAAGCGCGTGAGATATAAATACTCACTAGTTAGAGCAGTACGGCAAGCAAGGCACAATATCAGATTTTTAAACAGATATTATGAATAAGTTAAGTAATTTTGAATCTTAAAACCATGCAAATAAGATCCGTTTCAATTAAATACAAATCATGGTATCAACGATTACTACAATGATATTATTATATTTTTATTGTTTTGTTTAGCCTTGAGCCGTAACGGACGACAAAGCGCGCAGTTAAGTAATTTTGAATCTTAACAGCATGGAAAAAAACTTTGTTGCATTTAAATACGAATTACGGTATTAACGATGTCTTTAAATTTTGTTTAGCCTTGAGCTGGATTGCATTGGTACCTAGCACGTAATAGTAAGGGACGCCAACTTACTACTTAAGAATTTTCTGCCTAAATTAAGGAAGAAATGGAATGGAAATTTTTTAGGAGGTAAATTTTTTGTGAATATTTTTATTAGTTAAATTTTATTAATATTTTTGAAAAGAAATAAAACTTCACAAAAAGAAAAATATAATTTAATATTGCTGAGCTGCTTGGGTGGAAATCAGACCAAGGCTTATTCCATTCGATTTAATCGACTTGAGAAAAAAGTAAATCGTCCCATCGCTAAAAGCTTGAAGAGAGTGTTATTTAAAGTAAAAGTAAAAAGGGAAGTTCATTAAATCGTATAGTAAATTCGATATTGTAAGAGTTTTCACTGTTTTTAGTTGACCATTTCATGCATTTTGAAATAATCTTAATAATTCAGAAACTGCAAATAGTTCACTCGTCGAAAACTTCAATAAGGCAATTCTATTTCATTTTTGAAAAGTTTCGTCTTTTAAGCCATCTACAAAACATTTGCAAGGACATCTACGAACAGTTGCGTTTCATTTTTTTTCATTCAAAATTTGGAGAACGACCTACCACTGAATCTGTATTATTGTAATAATAAATGTATTCAGTACCGTCAGCATTATAGCAATTCCCCAATACAACGATAACTACAAGCTATGTTACAATTCCCCATTTTCTACAATACAATTTTCAAGACGAGTTAGAATTTTTTTTTCTCATAATCGAAATAAAAAAGATATAGATGAAATCGAGATTGAATATATTTTTTTTTATGTGGAAAGTTGCCAAGCGAGCAGGCGGTTCGCCTAATGTTAAGTAAATACCGCCGCTCATATTTGTACGTCAATGTCAATGGAATAAATTAGGCATAATACAATATTTAACACTGTAGGAAACGCAGCAAAAGTGAATGCGATTATGTTGCTTTTTAATTGCTTTTTTCTTATTTTTATTCTAAGTTTGATTTTTAGCTATTCATTGTACTGTTAATAAATAACAGCCTGGAATTTCATACTATGTTGTGATAATTTTACTGGTACCATAGAGACAGGATATAACAGTTTATATCTTTTTATAACGAAGCATGAATACAGAAAAGCTTGTGACAGCCACGGATGCCAACTTAGGAGTTTTCTTCCTAAATTTAGGAAGAAAAAATTGAGAATGGAAGTTTTTTAGGAGGAGAATTGTTTTGGAAGATTATTTTATTCACATTTTTGAAAAAAAAAACTACACAATTTTAAACACAATACATAAGATAATAGTATTGGCAGCATTGTATATTGTATATAACAGTGACTAGTGTTGGCTGCATTGGCCTATGTAGTATTTTAAATTGTTCCGCCAAAAACTCTTATTGTGAATATACGTTGACTCATAATATATTAAATTCATTGAATAAGTAATACAAAATGCCAAAGGGTGAATAAAATTGCCACCGGATATGTTCAAAAATATGCAGCTAAGTGGGAAAAAGCAATAATTCAGATATTTTATAATTGAATGATACTTATTCCCATTATTTATTTTCTGATTCTAAAAAAATAATGAAAATAATTATAACGTCACAATAAAATGTATTTAATTTGTATAAATATTTTTGAAGTCAATGAACAATGTTCAAAGTCAAGTATCTATATCAAATCAAGTATCTTGTTTTATTTAAAAATATATTAATTAAATTTATTTTTAAATAAAACAAGTTTGATTACCAAGACAGTAAAAGTTTACATTGTTAGGTAATTTAAAAAAATGACATTTTTCATTTAGGAGGTTTTTTTTGAAAACAGTGGATTTTAGGAGGTTTTTGAATTTCTTTAGGAGTTTTTTTTTTCAATAGTTGGTATCACTGGTGACAGCGAACAATCTGTGTGGAATAGGAACTAGGACAGTTGATATTTTTTAAAATATCGGATTTTCGATATATTGATATTTTTAAATATATCAATATCGGAGTTCGATATATCGAAAAAAAAATATCGATATTTCGATATATCGGTTTTATTTTAAAAAAATCGTAAGTCAGCTCAAAATGATTACACAATTTATAGACCAGTAGATTTATTTAACAAATTAAATTATGAATGTACATAAGTATTAGGTTATAGTTCTTAGTAATTATTTTTTAAATATAAATAAGACAATTATGTATGCCAATATTTTTCAGTAAGAGTTTTTAAAAATACTGTTTGTTTTATATGTTCAGCTGTTTGGCTACTACGATTGTTAGGCACTAAAAGATTGATTGTAGAAGCAACTCGTTCAGATGCTACAGATGTAGCAGAAGAAATTAAATATTTAAGTGCTATTTGCTTCGCTCAATGTTAACCACAGACTAATCTACATAGTGCCTAGAGGTAAAGATACTAACTATGCTAAACTGTGAACGCTGACAGCGACAACAAACAACATTTGAAAATTTTTATAATTTATTTTATTAAAAAATAATTTTTAAAAAATTAAAACAAAAATTTTCACGAGTACAAAATTTTAAAAATTATACCTGGAATTTTTGAAAAATAGTTTTTAATTAATAAAAAAAATCAATAATTATTGAATGTCGGCTAACTTAATTTTCATAAATAAAATACGGTAGATTAAGTTTACGATAATTTTGTAGAGTAAATAAATTACGAAAAAAATTAAAAATAAAAATTTACTTAAAAAAAATATCTACCATCGATATCGATAATTCAATATCGAACTATCGATATATCGTCCAAAAAAATATTAGTAATAAATATCGATATTTGAAAATAATAATATCGATATTTCGATATATCGATATTTTATCAACAGTCCTAATAGGAACTCAACTGTTATTTAAGTTTGTTCGTAACAGGTACAGCCTGTTATCTCAAGATACCTGTTATAGCTACCTGTTACGATAAATACCCCTCATTCCTAAGTCCTACCTGACAGTTCTGACTTGTGAATTGTGACTGAAATCTGAATATGACGCTAAAGTGTATTATGAGATGAAAACAAAAATATATTTTTTATTTACTTGAATTTTCTGAATGATAAAAAAATATGTACCTGTATGTTTAAATGGCGTTGTTATCATGGAGAATGAAGACAGTGTTTTATGTACTGGGTGCCTTTGTGTTGGTCGCAAAATGTTAATTGTTGACGATTACTGGAAAAAGAAATGTTTTCTGCAAATAATGAGTGAAGTACCGGTAAATTAACGTTGCCAATAATGAAATTACGAAATATATGCGAAAATTGTATTCTAGTATTTAATAATTTATATATAAAACATCTCTGTTTCAATTGTGCTGTAGCCTGTACAATGAATACAGTATAGCGGAATGTTGAAAAAATATGTATTAGCTTTTATTTTATTGAACTTCATTTTAGTATCCTATCTGAGACAAGTCATACCATGCAATAGGAGTGTTTAGAGCATCTTTAAAATAGATGATTACCCGTACACACTGCCTTTTATACAATGCCAAATCATATATCATTTCTAGAATTTTTTGTTCAGTAGAAATAAAATGTGTAACATCCTATACAACTATAACTGACTGATTCATACATTCAGAGAATTCTTCATTTGTTGCCACAATGTTGCATTACAAGACTCTTCTCCTTACAGTATGTTTTATCTCTTTTTAATTCATTCAACCAATTCATATGCTTTGTGACCTTTACAACTTCACATTACAGTTTTATATGTATGGGTGGGTGTTTTTAATAAAATTATTAAAAAATTATTTGTTTTGGAAAATTTAATTACTCTGGACATATTTATGTTTAAAGAAAGTAAATGTTTGATACAATTTTAAAAAGTTATGTCCAGTAAATAGGTCCAGTATATAAAGTAGGTCCAGTTAGTAGTGCAACATTGTATATTTCATTGTATTTTATTGGTTAGGACAACATACAGTATGTACATAAAATAAATTTTACAAATACACACATATATGTGGGCCAATAAAGTTTTCACCACTGGCTATACACTTTGCATCAGAAGTATACCATTATAATATAATTTTTCAACATTATTCAGTTTTATAAAAGATTTGTTAAAGATGGGAAAAAAGAAAATACAAATTATGAATACATATTACATTTTCAGATGACGCCCGACGAGAGTGCACCAGTGTGGTTGTGTTGGGAATGCGATGCCTCTATAGCACGCTTCACCAGATTCAAGAGTCAAGTTGTAGAGTCACTTAAAATATTTAGGAACTACATTGATCAGGTACAAAAAACAAGTGTTGTATTTAATATTGTGTTATGTCATTACTAAATGTGCAGTACTTTTTTAATACACTTATTAGTTTGACCTATATGTATGTATGAATGGAATCTTTAAATATGATTTTGCCCCACTTTCAACGATCAGATTTGAATCAAACTTCTCACACTTGTCAAAGACCCATGACAATGCAAAAATTTAAAAAGTTTTCCCATAATCCTAATCAGGACCTTCAAAATTATCTATTTTCTAAATCTGATACCCGGTAGTGCCCTTAAAAAATAAAAAACACGCTTTTATAATTAGCGGAACTAAAAAATAGAAAATAAATAATAGTTTAGAAAAAAACTAAAAAATGCTTCTGTGGATAACCAAGTTAATAAGTTTAAAATTATTTTCAATTAATTATGATTACCAAAGGTTGCCTGGAAGAAAAGGTTGCCTGGAAGAAATTACTCTTAGTAATAAGGCCGCCCATTGTACCCATTACTTCTACATTAAGTTTTAATTTTTGTTTGTTTTATTTTTGGTGTGCAATAAAGTATATTCATTCATTCATTCATTCATACCAAAAAAATTATTGCAGAAATGATTGGGTTGCTTTTTAAGCTATCTCTATTAAGACTACTTTTACCAGTATGTATACTGTCATTAAAATATTATGACAATTGACTCCAAGCTCCCCGCGATTTAAATAGTTATATTAATACAATTTTTTTTTTTGTTAATCACTCTTCGTATTTTAAATTTATTGAAAATTTTTTCTACTTTTTAGTTCGGTTACCTACAAAAGCGTGTTTTTTTTAAACTATGTATTATTTTATAAATGGAACTATTATACTACTATATTTGTACGGATTTATCGCGTTTATTTTTAATTTTAATCCCAGACGTTTCGAACCCTTTACAGCGTTCATCGTCACGGGACAGAGTCTGCCAGAAATCCGCCAATCCGCATTGGGGTCGTGCGTTGGATTATGGCCTGATACCCTATTTACTGAGGAGGCCTTTGCCTAGCAGTGGGACATTTATAGGCTGTTACTTTACTTCTTTATTTTTATAGTGTTAGATGGGTAACGCTTGCGCTAAATGGACCGATTTTTATAATTTTTTTTGTTTGTGTTCGAGAATATCTTGATTAGATTCACAATTCGGCCCCACACCACAAAATGTTTTTGCTGTTATACTTCTTTTGGCGAGTTTGGAAAAAATTATGAGAGTAAAATTTACGATTGCATTTAATATCTTTCTCACAAACAAAGAGCACTCTCACATAAGAAGTATACGCACGTAAGAAGTACACCCATAGTTTTTATTAATAATTTTTTTTTATTTATAAGTTGTCACATTTAAGACATTTTTACAAAACAACAGTGTTTCAATCCGTGTTCCAGTCACTGTTTTTTGTCTGTTGCCAGTTGTATCTAACATTATTGTTCTTACACACGCCCTTGTAGAATTTGGACCTCGCAGACATAAAGAGGTCACCAACACTGCGCACGCAGAAAGTGAGCGACATAGCGATAATACCTCCGGACGCGACGTTGCCGTTCTTTGAGGGCGATGTCAAAACGGAGATAGACTCGGATAGCGAGAGGGCGGTGGAGGTGGTGGTGAAGGTGGAGAGGGATGAGGGGTGGGAGGAGTTCAACGCAGGGTCCAACGCGGGATGCATCGTGGAGTCCAACGCGGGGTCCAACGCGGGGTCCAAAGCGGGGTCCAAGGCGGGGTCCAAAGCGGGGTCCAACGCGGGCTCCAATGCGGGGTCCGATGCGGGGTCCGACGACGACCGCGCCCTGGCGGAGCTGGCGAAGAAGAGGAAAGCGCGCAAAGCGAAGAAGAGAAGGAGAGAAGTGGAAGTCGTCTACGAAGAGGTCCTTCTCGACAGCGCCCAGGTGGAAGAAGAGAGGAGGGAGATAGCCTCCAGGGAGGAGTACGTCAACGCGATGTTCCGTTGCGAGAGCTGCATCACGACCTTTCCCAACGCGGACGATCTCAAAGACCACCTCAGGCTGAAACACGAACTGGTTGGTTTTTTTGAAGTGAAAACTTCTTTAAGCGCGGTACGCATATTTTTAGATGAGATAAAATCTCTGGACACGTGACACCGGTCTTATTTTATTTATTTATTTAATCTATATTGCACTAAAATTGTACAAAGGCGAGCTTAATACTTCTCTTCTAGCTAACCCTAAGTAAAACCGAAAGCTACGAATATAATAAATAAGGGAAACGCTATGGATATAATAATGAGGTAATAAATTATCAAGGTCTTCTTTGAGGTCGTGGTACCTTCTAGGACCTACATATGATTTATAGGGGTGCAAATTGAATGGATCCATCCCATAGAAACATTCATTTTTGCATCTGCACATACATAATTAATATTAACTATAAGTGGGTTAGAGCAATTGCTAAACATTAAAACATTGGTATGTCCGTGTGACGAGTATTTGTTTTATGGGGTAGCGTGGTGGACTTTGCCCTCATACCCTCTTTACAGAGCAGCCTTTGCCCAGCCTTTAACAAGCAGTGGGTCATTTATAGGCGGTTACTTACCTTACTATAAAGTACTTTGCCAAATACAAAGTACGGTTGGCAACCCTAAGCGGGAGACGCGAGCTGTCACTTACTGTTTTCGCGTGCGCAGAGTTTGAGGGCTGCCACTTACTGTTTTCGCGTGCACGGAGTTTGATGGCTGTGACTTAGCGTTTGAGGGGAGGTCTCTCCGCTCGCAGAACGCGTCCGGCCCAGGGTGCCCCGTCTGCGGCTGCACGTTCGCCACGGACGCGGCGCTCGGCCACCACGCGAGGAGGCACGCGCTCAGGTACCGGTGCCTCGAGTGCGGCCGCCACTACCGCAGCAAGGCGGCGGCGGGCAAGCACCACGCCGAGGCGCATCGCAGGTGAGCGGCACGAGGGGGGGGGGGGGGGAGCGTCACGTTTGCTGGCGAAGCGGGTGAGGGGTATGAGGTCGCAGCGTTCGGGGGTTTGGGGGGGGGGGGGGGGGGGGTGGCTGGCGTGACCCCTACTCTCTAAGCAGGTGAGGTGTCCGGGGTTGGAGGCTTCGGGGGGGTTAGAGACTTGAGGCGACACGTTTACGTCCAAGTGGGTCAACAGCTACGTCTGGAACTATTTAACGTCATAGTATTTTCACGATGACACTTCCTCAATTTGAAAAAAATAAAAATGACCGCGCGAATTTTCATTGTTCATCAAGGAAACAGGGTGGAATAGTTTTCGTAAATGCTGCGCCGTTCCTCTTTCAGCTTAGACTACAATTTCGACCTCGGCGACGGACTCGACGAGCGTTTGGAGGAGGCGCCGGAAGCGGAGGGAGCAGGGGACAGCAACAGGTGATGCATCGGAAAATCTCTATTCTCTCTCTCTTTTTTTTTATGTGAAAATTTGCCAAACGAGCAGGCGGTTCATCTGATGTTAAGTGAATGCCGTCGCCCATGGACATCTGCTACGACCGAGGGTAGCACGTGCATTGACAAACTTTTGAAAATTGGGCTCCGGCTACCTCACTCACCAGACGAAACGCGAAAGTATTATACTTCAACTTTACGCCGGTCTTCTGTGAGGTCGTGGTACTTACCCGGGCGAGCCTGCCCATTCGTGCAACAATCGAGGCTGCTGCGTGGCCCTACCACCTTTGAATCCCTTCCCGTGATAGCTCAGCGCCCGGGCGCTCGCCTTAAATCCAATATACTCGAATATAGACTCGATCCCCGGTGCCGGCGCCAAATGAATTGCTAATTTTAAGCGCTGACTTATCACGTGATCAGCGGTGAAGGAAAACATCGAGAGGAAACCTGCATATTTTCCAAATAATAACAAAACAAATGTTTCGAATATGTGCGAAGTCAGCCAATGCGTGGTGGGACCGCGTGGTGCACTATGCCCTGATACCCTATGTTCAGAGGAGACCTTTGCCCAGCAGTGGGGCATGTATAAGCTTTACTTAACTATACTTTTAACCGCTCTCGCCTAACGAATGGGCCACCGGGGAAGTCCCTTTCCCTTGCCTAAGACCCGCGCGAAGTGAGTGATGTAGTCGGAGACCACATTTTTGTGTTTGGCAACGTTTCTGTAATCCACCGGGTGTTATATTTCCATGGGAGGCGGTAATCACTTAGCATCAGGTGATTCGCGTACTTTCTTGACAACTTTTCACATGAAATTATGAACTTTAAGTAACCCCCCCGAAACAAGAATAAAATATGTGATTTGCAGCAAGGAGCATATAAATTATAGTATAATAAGAGATTGAAAACATCACAGATTATAATAATATTTTATAGATGCAATATATATTTATGTGTTTATTATTTATCCCCAAACCCAACAAACAAAATAAATACCCCCATAATAGTAATAATAATAAAATATCTTTATTCACATAGACGCTTGCGCGTTCTTATGAAACGTCAAAATTTGACAAGAAATTGACACGTTCGTAAGTTACCACCGGTTTGGAAAGCAGATTAAACAAGTTTGCAGTATGTGAGCACACCCTAAATCGTCCCAATAATTTTAATAAATTCACTGATACTCGGACATCTAATGACACCGTCTCCCCGTCACTATTAATGTTGAAAAGTGTCGGGAAATAAAATTATAAACCGGCCAAGTGCGAGTCGGACTCGCGCACGGAGGATTCCGTACCATTATCTATAAAAACGGCAAAAAAAATCATGCGTGTTGTACGGAATATTTTTTATTTGCCCTCACAGAAGACCGGCGTAAAGTAGAAGTCTGGTGAGTGAGGTAGCCGGGGCTCACTATATTTAAAGATGCAATATTTGCAATCGTGTTGCAAATATCTTTGCAATTATTCGTTTGCAATCGTGTTGCAAATATCCAAGGGCGGCGGTTATCACTTAACATCAGGTGAACCGCCAGCTCGTTTCCACTTTGTCACATGAAAAACATAAACACGACAAGTCCGTTAGTCTGTGGATGCGAGAGAAATCACAACCCGTGGTGAGTTGTACTTTGAAAGCGAAACTCCTCCCCAGCAACGCCCACTCGGCCACTTACCCGTGCGAGTTCTGCACGAAGACCTTCCGCTGGAAGACCTCGCTGAGGAAGCACCTGGAGAAGCACAGGATCGAGACGGGCCAGAAGAGGAGACCGTACTGCGAGCCGTGCAGGTGAACTTTTTCGAAGTCATACTTCTTTTGGCGCGCTGTACAAATTATGAGAGTTTAGCTTTTTTGAAGTCATACTTCTTTAGGCGCGCTGTAAAAATTGTGAGAGTGAAATTTTAAGATGCGCGCGCATCACTGTAACACAAAACCAAAATCATTTGTTCATCGGCATAAAAATGCATTTCATTTATCGATAGTCATATTTTTTTTTAAATCTACCACCGTTTCGTAATGAGGTTCCTCTAGCGGAGAAGAAACGAGCGATAGAAACTCCGTAGATATCCCCTTTTTTGTCATTTTTTTTCTTAAAAAAATAAAAATATTATACAACTGATATTTTTTTCCTTTTAGAAATAGCTTGGGAGCGATCTGCTCATTCGCAGCGGTTATTGTCATTAATGTATTCTTTATATTATAATAACCCTTTTCATAAAGTTTTTCTTTAATAAATTTCTTAAACCTGTTAATAGGTTAAACCGCTTATTTTTTTTAATAGATGGTAGCATATTCTCAATCACATTTGCCCCGTTATAGTTCTCAGTAAAGAGTGTGTGAGTGGCGCTTTCATAATTTTCTCTACTTTTTAACTGGCCACCATTAATGAAGTGGGCCCCGGCTACCTCACTCACCGGACGAAACGCAGTAGTGCAACGCTTCCACTTCACGCCGGTCTTCTGTGAGGTCGTGGTATTAATTTAAATAAATTAAAAGTAAAAAAAATTAGTAAAACGCAAACGTTTGGCGAGAATAGTTATGAAAGCATATATCTTTGTATACTTACTTGATAAATAAATAAAAAAAAAAACTAACCGGACGGACTTGCCCATTCGTACAACAGAGAAGACCCTACTACATTACGTAGGTAGTCAACATTTGTAGAAAAAAAAAATCGAACCCACGTCTTTCGGATTCGCGCCCAGACGCTTTAACCGCCAAGCTAACCGCTTAGCCATTTTAGATAGATAGATACCTAACTAATAGCTAGGTTTTCTGTAAAAAGACCTATCACTGTATTGTTTTTCTATTATTTTATTAAACACTAGCTGTGCCCTATAAATAAAAATATTAAACACTAGCTATAAATAAAATTTCTAGAATAAAAGTAGCCTATGTTACTCCTTATTACATCAGCTATCTGCCAGACAAAAATTAAAAAAAAAAACGTTACTTTGGGTACATGTACCGTGTATACATCCATATGCATTTAGTAAAAAACGTCTATTTTAATATTACGAACAGACACTCCAATTTTACCTATCTGCATAGATTACTCTTAACATTCAACTGATATATCTTTGTACAGAAGTTGTACAGTTCTGTTCAGAACAAATATATATGCAGATTGCTTACTTTACTCGATTCGTCTCGCTAACGATAATGAAATGCCGGCTTGTGGGTTCGATTCCCACACGGGACTAGTGTCTGTTCGAGCCGGATACAAAATTAAATGTTCCCAATGGGGGTTGACGTCAGGCCTGTGACATGTGCCGACCCTACAAAGGAACGAGGGCATGAGGGAAACGAAGATAATTCGCTAATTAAATGCCTCCTACCTCTTCACCAGGTTGTCCTTCACGACTTCATCCAACCTGCAGAAACACGTGAAGACCAGCTCCAAGCACCAGATCCAGTTGAAGCTGAGGTGAGAATGAAGGCGGACGCGCACGATTTCATATCAATATGGCCGCTGCGCACGATTTCATATCAATATGGCCGTTGCGAACGATTTCATTTCAATATGGCCGCTGCGCACGATTTCATATCAATATGGCCGTTGCGAACGATTTCATTTCAATATGGCCGCTGCGCACGATTTCATATCAATATGGCCGTTGCGAACGATTTCATTTCAATATGGCCGCTGCGCACGATTTCATATCAATATGGCCGTTGCGAACGATTTCATTTCAATATGGCCGCTGCACACGATTTCATATCAATATGGCCGTTGCGATGATTTCTTTTCAATATGGCCGCTGCGCACGATTTCATTTAAATATGGCGGCAAACGTCTACTGTCCTGTCGAGATTAAGCGATCACCGAATACTGTGAGGCTGCCAACCCTTGGTACAGTCGGCACCGGCTACCTTACTCATCAGACGGAACGCGAAAGTATGACCAACTTAACGACGGTTTCCGTGAAGCCGTGGCACTCCCCCGGACGCGAGCCATTCGTGTCGCCATCTGTTGGTAACATTATGTTATATTCGTAAATAAAACTCATAATAGAGAAGTACAAACAATGGCCAGTAGCTTAATACAATTAAATTGATTTGTTACTTACTTGTGTTATTTGCCGCGCGCGATTTCGTTCTCCCAGACGCGCCTAAAAAAAAATAAAATGAAAAAAACCGGCTGAAGCGAGTCTGACTCCCGCACGAAGGGTTCCGTACTATTATCTATAAAAACGGCAGAAAAATAATGCCTATGTTGTATGGGAGCCTCGCTTATGTATTTTTTGTTTTCTTTTTTAGTATATTTTTTAGTATATTATTTTACTAGCTTTTCGCCCGCGGCTTTTCACGCGTTGCAGCCTCATAAATGTCTTTCTTTAGAATATTTTTATATTTTAATTTTATATATTTTTTTTAAGTTTTTTCCAATTAAAAAATAGCCAGCCTATGTCCTTTCTCAGGCTCTAAACTATCTGTGTACCAAAATTCATTTAAATCGCTTCTTGCGTAGTTTTGGCGTGACAGCGAGACATACAGACAGAATAACTTTCGCATTTATAATATTAGTATGGATGTTGTGTAGCGGAGTTTTAGTAATAACCGTTTCACCCTTCGGATGCGATGCCTTAAAAATGTGAAAATGTTTCGTCTCTCGACTCCAACTCGCCCCCTCTCTTTCCCGCAGGAAGCTGAACGAGACGCTGGGGCAGGACGGCGCCAGTGCGGAGGGCCAGCTCGATCGCATCAAGCAGATGAAGCGCGTGGTGAACAGCGAGCGGCAGCGTTACGCGTGCACGCAGTGCGACCGCCGCTTCCAGTGGCGCGGCAACCTGTTGCGCCACCTGCACAGCCACGACGCCAGGTCGGGCGAGCGATTCTCAACACCCTATGAATAAGGCCGTCATTTGACTGTATGCGAGGTTAATCGATTTTAGTATTATCAAACTCCTCTGCTATATGGTCTGCGCGATTCTCAACCTTTTCTTGCTATGAATAAGGCCGTCATTAGACTGTATGCGATTATAGATTTTAATATGCGTTAACAGATTTTAGTATTCTCAAACTTCTCTGGTATAGGGTCTTCATTCGACTGTAGCTTCGGATGTCAATGTTAATCGATTATAGTATTATCAACCTTCTCTGTTATGCATAAGGTCTTCATTAACTGTAGCTTCGGATGTCGATGTTAATCGATTCTAGTATTATCAACCTTCTCTGTTGTGAATAAGGTCGTCAATTTTGATTTTCGCACGGGACAAGTATTTGTACGACTCATAGACAATTGTTCTCGATTTAGGTTTATGTTCGAGAACAAAAGAAAAGCAAAGTTAGGTAAAGCGATCAGTTTACAATATAGTTTATAACATACAAGTATAATATTCTTATTTTAGCCTACGTGTGTATCAACAGTATTAGCTCCACCCATTAGTATCGTCGAGATATTCCGCAATGGTATCATACGCTTTAGCTATTAAAAATCGTGTTTGTGTCTCTTTTTTTACATGTAAGTTTGTGTTATGTTGTGGCGGTTCACCTGATGTTAACTGATGGCCGCCGCCCGTGGACATTCGCAACATCTGTAGGGTTGCCGATGCGTTGTAACTACTGTACAAGTTGTAAGAAAGCGGACCTCGGCTACCTCACTCAGCACACCAAACGCAGAAGTACCACACTTCCACCTCACGCCGGTCCTCTGTGAGGTCGTGGTATTTACCCGGACGGACCTGCCCATTCGTGCAACAGAGAAGACTGATGCTTACATTAACAACAGTCTTTGTTCTGCTTTTTTTTAATGTGTAAATTTGTCAAACGAGCAGACGGTTCACCTGATGTTAAGTGGATACCCCCGCTCATGGACATCTGCCACACCCGAGGGTTACAGATGTGTTGACAACCTTCTGAAAATTGGGCTGCGGCCACCTCACTCACCGGACGAAACGCGAAAGTATTATACTTCCACTTTACTTCCGTCTTCTTTGAGGTCGTGGTACTTACCCGGACGGGCCTGCCCATTCGTGCAACAGCCGAGGCTGCTGAGCCCTACCAATGTAATGACGGTACCTTGGGCCCACCTAGAGGGGGGCCTTCCAACGCTACGTCTTCCGGCTCGTGGTCGCCACTCGAGAACCTCTACTCCCCATCGGCCATCAGCTCTTCGGGCGATGTGGCCCGCCCACTGCCGCTTCAGCTTGCTGATCCGGAGAGCTATGTCGGTGACTCCGGGCAACCGGTGATGCAAATGGCAAAGTGTCGTTCGTCGCGGCGTTCTAAGGGGGAGGCCTATGTCCAACAGCGGACGTCTTGCGGTTGACGATGACGATGATGGTGATGATTTTAAATGTTCTGATGACGGTACCCCGTCCAGGGCGAAGGGCGAGCTGGTCTGCGAACCCTGCAAGCGCACCTTCTCCTCGATAGCCACGTACCAGCAGCACATGAAGTTCAGCAGGAAGCACGTGTCCGAAAACGACTTTAAGTGAGTGCCCCTCGCCGTTCCATTAATTAGCATCATCCCGTCGCACGCAGAGACGACGATTAACTCTCGCGACGGTCAAATCAAAGCGCTGGAGTTATGTTTTCTACTAGCTGTGCCCGCGACTTCGTCCGCGTGGAATTTAAAATAAAAAAAATCTAAAATAAAAGTAGCCTAAGTTATTCCTTATGTAATAAGCTATCTGTCAGTGAAAGTCCAGTCCAAATCGGTCCGGCCGTTTCAGAGATTAGCCAGAACAAGCAGACAGACAAACAAAAATTGTAAAAAATTTTAATTTGGTATATGTACCGTGTATACATCCATATGCATTTAGTAAAAAGCGGTTATTTTAATGTTACAAACAGACACTCCAATTTTATTTATCTGTATAGATTTCAAATTTGTACGACTGTTAAATAATTTAAAGTAATTAAAAGTAAATATAATTATAAAAAGTATATTATAAAAAGTAAATAAATATAATTAAAAGTAAATAAGGAAGTAATCCTTACTAATATTATAAAGGCGAAAGTTTGTATGTATGGATGGATGTTTGTTACTCTTTCACGCAAATACTACTGAATGGATTTTAATGAAACTTTACAATTATATAGCTTATACATCAGAATAAGACATAGGCTATAATTTATATACATATTTTATGTATATCTGTCTTTCTGTCTGAATGTTTCGCCTTCAGCCTATTCTACGCAGACGTAGTCGTGGGCATCAATTAGTAAGAAAATAAGAGTGTCGGAGAGTAAAATAAGATTACGATTCTACACAAATATCTTGGGTTCTTATATATACTTTTATGTATTAAAGTAAATAAATTCTAATAATATAAAAGAGGGATAAAAAACGTTGTTAACGCGAAGTTGTAATTCTTTAGCGTAACAAAATAGAAAATGATTTGAATGAATGAGAATTGAAAAAAAACTCAAAATTGTATCGTTCCCGTGCTGTTTGTTTGTGTGAGACATTAAGTGCAATTTTAAAATAACGGTTTAATAGAATAACTTGGAATAATTCCAAGGTAAGATAGGTAAATGTAAAAATAAATAAAAAATATTTAGGACATATTTTCACACAACGTTATCCAGTCCCAAACTAAGCAACACTTGTACTATTTGTACTAGATAAGTGAGGCAGTGCACTAGCCACTACGTCAATCGGGTCGCCTTCTCAAAAATGTTTAAAAAAAAGAAACCGGCCAAGTACGAGTCGGACTCGCTCATGAAGGGTTCCATACCATTATCTATAAAAAAGGGAAAAAATGCTGTCTATTGTATGGGAGCACCTTAGAAATATTTTTTCATTCTGTTTTTCAATAAGTGTTGTTTTAGCGGTAACAGAAATATATTTTATCATCTGTGACAACTGCTTAACTATCACGGTTCATGAGATACGGCCTGGTGACAGACGGACAGACAGCGGAGTGTTAGTAATAGGGTCCCGTTTTACCCTAACTACTACAAGTCCATTTTTTTATTAACGAAAAACAAAACCGTCCTCAAATATCTCGTTCCGTATTAATTTAAGTATCTCCGGAGGCCAAAATTTGATACCAATGGGAAGCATCAGCTTTAATATAAAAAAAGAATCATCACTCGGTTTACTCAGTCGAAAGTTCTCAGGTGACAAACATTAAAAATAAAAGTGCGTTGAGCCCCTCCGAGCGGAAGAAGTGAAACTTCGAGTGCACAGCATTCACTCCCGCTCTGTCTCTTTCTATTCCCCTCCCCAGGAGCGTTGAACGTTTAACGCAACAGTGCTTTCACACACCTCCAGTTGGCGTTAAACGTTCAACGCAACCTCGTTGGAAGTGGCATCAGAAGTTTCTATTCAAAAATAAAGTCGAAGCGAGAACCTACTCCTTTTTCGAAGTCGGTTGAAGATCAGTCAATTTCGGCTGCCGGCAGGTACGTGTGCAGCGATTGCGGAAAGCGGTTCGCGAACAAGACCCGCCTCCAGGACCACGTGGACTGGGAGCACTTGAAGAACTTCGTGCACGCCTGCCAGGTCTGCCAGAAGGTGGGTGCCGTCTTCTGCAGGTCTGCCAGAAGGTGGGTGCCGTCTTCCGCAGGTCTGCCAGAAGGTGGGTACCGTCTTCCGCAGGTCTGCCAGAAGGTGGGTGCCGTCTTCCGCAGGTCTGCCAGAAGGTGGGTGCCGTCTTCCGCAGGTCTGCCAGAAGGTGGGTGCCGTCTTCCGCAGGTCTGCCAGAAGGTGGGTGCCGTCTTCCGCAGGTCTGCCAGAAGGTGAGTGCCGTCTTCCGCAGGTCTGCCAGAAGGTGGGTGCCGTCTTCCGCAGGTCTGCCAGAAGGTGGGTGCCGTCTTCCGCAGGTCTGCCAGAAGGTGGGTGCCGTCTTCCGCAGGTCTGCCAGAAGGTGGGTGCCGTCTTCCGCAGGTCTGCCAGAAGGTGGGTGCCGTCTTCCGCAGGTCTGCCAGAAGGTGGGTGCCGTCTTCCGCAGGTCTGCCAGAAGGTGGGTGCCGTCTTCCGCAGGTCTGCCAGAAGGTGGGTGCCGTCTTCCGCAGGTCTGCCAGAAGGTGGGTGCCGTCTTCCGCAGGTCTGCCAGAAGGTGGGTGCTGTCTTCTGCAGGTCTGCTAGAAGGTGGGTGCCTTCTTCCACAGGTCTGCCAGAAGGTGGGTGCCGTCTTCTGCAGGTCTGCCAGAAGGTGGGTGCCGTCTTCCGCAGGTCTGCCAGAAGGTGGGTGCCGTCTTCCGCAGGTCTGCCAGAAGGTGGGTGCTGTCTTCTGCAGGTCTGCTAGAAGGTGGGTGCCTTCTTCCACAGGTCTGCCAGAAGGTGGGTGCCGTCTTCTGCAGGTCTGCCAGAAGGTGGGTGCCTTCTTCCACAGGTCTGCCAGAAGGTGGGTGCCGTCTTCTGCAGGTCTGCCAGAAGGTGGGTGCCTTCTTCCACAGGTCTGCCAGAAGGTGGGTGCCGTCTTCTGCAGGTCTGCCAGGAGGTGGGTGCCTTCTTCCGCAGGTCTGCCAGGAGGTGATCTGACGATGCAATAATTAAAATAGTTTTTCCCATTATCCTAATCAGGACCTTCAGGATTGGCTATTTTCCAAATCCGATAGGTCGGATGGTATCCGGTAGCGTCCTTATGCCAAGTACGCATTTAACAAAGGTTTGATATGTTAACTCCGCGTACGCATTTAAAAAATGTTTATTATGTTTACCCCGCGCTTTTATAACCGCAGCCCATAGACTGTTATGTCAATGGGCTGCGGTGCACCCATCAGGCAACACATTTTAATAAAGTGGGGCCCCGGCCACCTCACTGAACAAACGGAACGCAGAGGCGTAACACTCTTACTTTACGCCGGTCTTATGTGAGGTCGTGGTACCAACCCGGACGGAAATGCCCATTCTGGCAACAGCGAAGTCTGTTGCATGGCCCTGCCATAGTTTAATTTAAATAAAAGTACAGACATTAGATTACCTTCAAAAATATATAAATACTTCAATAGGTCTCTGTACCGGCCTCCGTTGACCGTGTGTACCGTCAATCGACCAAAAAACAAGACCCCCATAATCCAAGCAGTCCAGTCGCACTCAGAGCTCTGGTCATCGTTATACAGGTGTTCAAGAGCCACACTTCGCTGTATATGCACAAGCAGTTCGTTCACAAGAAGGACGTGGCGGCCCACCTGTGCGACCACTGCGGCAAGCCTTTCACGGTGAGTAACAAGTTAGAAAGAGAGAAGTGATTGAGTACAGTAGTAGGTGTATTTATCATGTGCGAGTAAATGAAGGGACTTCCTGACAGTCTCGTGCCGTCTCTCTCTCCCCTGCTGCAGAAATAGCAGAAATGCGCGGGTCTGTTTAGTTTCTCGCTCACTGCCATGTCAAGCCGAGGAATTGGACAAACCCTTTGAGCAGTCTCGTTCTTCTACGTCCCAGAGTTAGACTTATAAGTTAATCGTGCCGCCTCCCTCCCACAACTGCATGTAGAACCGAGATATTGGACAACCGTATCACGTCTTCTCTATTCTCCCGCGTTCCAGAACCAGCCTAAGCTGCTCAGCAAAGTATGACATTGCCCACCGTCACTCTAACACTGTCGTAGGAAACCCAAATGCGAGACAACACGCCCTCTCCCTCTCCCGTGCGCCAGTATCAGGCTAAGCTGCGCAGCCTTGTTCTAGCACCGTCACTCCAACATCGCCGTATATAACCAAAACGCGAGGCAGCCATATCACGCCCTCCCTCCCGCGTTCCATGCCCGTCTTAACCGCGCGGCCGAATTCCACTATAATCGCGCCGTCTCTCTCCCCCGTCGCCACATGCCGTATCACGCCCTCTCCCTCCCGCGTTCCATTGCCTGCCTTAAGCGCGCGGCCGCGTTAATCACGCCGTCTCCCTCCCCCGTCGCCACATGCCGTATCACGCCCTCTCCCTCCCGCGTTCCATTGCCTGCCTTAAGCGCGCGGCCGCGTTAATCGCGCCGTCTCTCTCCCCCGCCGCCACATACCGTATCACGCCCTCTCCCTCGCGCGCTCCAGAATCAGGTTAAGCTGCGAGTCACTCCAACACCGCCGTATACTCGTAGAACCGAAACGCGAGCCAACCGTATCGCGCCCTCTCGCCCCTACGCCCCAGAACCTCGCCCAAGCCGCGCGGCTGTGTTCAACTATATCATCGCGCCGTCTCTCTCCCCCGCCGCCACATGCCGTATCACGCCCTCTCCCTCGCGCGTTCCAGAACCAGGCCAAGCTGCGCGCCCACGTGACGGCGCTGCACTCGCTCGAGGCGCCGTACCGCTGCGCCGCGTGCCCGGCCCGCTTCAGCTGGCACTCGTGCCTCTCCCGCCACGTGAAGAAGGTGCACCGCAGGCCGGAGGTGGAGCAGAACTAGACTGGGGGGAGGGGGGCGGGGGGGGGGGGAACAATTGAACCGCAGATGCAGAGGTAATTATGGACCATGTCTTTGTATGGAAAAATTAAAACAATGAGACACATAGTCTACGTTCGCAGTAGTCGTTAGTGTGGATCGGCGTTACTGATCCAAAGTTGTTAGTTACGGAGGATAGAGGTAAGGAGAACGATCTGCGTGTATAAAAAAAAACAAACCTCTTGTATATAATCAGCTTGGGGACCTGTTAATTGGTGAAAGTACACCGGCTACTTGCCACACCGACGAAAATCTCAATGTATTAATAATACATAACAATACAAACTCAACAAGGCAAACAGGCATACCCTCTTGCTACTCTAGCGCCATTTTGAGGTTTGAGGGGATTTGGAACTGTTATTTACTGCTTATAGTAGCAGAACAATTTTTTTTCTTATTTGTAGTTGTTAGCATATCTCCCTACCTATTTTCAAGCGACTTTTAAGAAAACATTTTATGCCTCCTTAATCATTGTGTTCCATTCCTCGATGTTGTCAACTTATATCTAAATACTTATACATTATTTATAACGTATATATTTATATATCGTGTTTGCATGTGTATTTATGTATAATTTATTAATATGTATTTATATTTTGACTTATAAGTTTCTCTTATTAATTCAGTGTACACCGTTACCCAATGCTACTGTTTTTACTATTTCCTTTACTAGGTTGCCTGGAAGAAATCGCTTCCTAGCGATAAGGCCGCCTATTGTACAGTTTTGTATTATTTTAGTTGATTCTTCAATATCCGTTGGTTGTGTACAATAAAGTATATTTCATTTCATTTCATTTCACAACGCTTCTTACACTAATCCTCCATAACATGAACACTGGATTAATAAAATACAGGAAGTTTTAATCAATACTCACTGATGTGTTCAATGACTAATATTTCTGATATACATCTTATATATAAAATTCTCGTGTCATAATATTAGTTACCTTACTCCTCCAAACCGGCTTTACTGATTTTTACCAAACTTTATATGCATATTCAGTAGGTCTGAGAATCGGCTACTATCTATTTTTCATACCCCTTAGTGATAAGGGTTGTTCACCCTTAACATTTCTTTTTAATTTTTGGACAAAATGTTTTGTTTTTATTTTTTTATGATACAGCATACAAAAATACATACAAGCCTAAATTTTCACCCCTCCACGCAGACGTAGTCGCGGGCAGCAGCTAGTATTTATATAAGGGTTACAGAAGTTATGTTTCTTTTGGCGAATATAAAAAACATATTAATAAATTATTATTTTTTACTAAATGAGCCTAATATTATATGTGTAGTATTCATCATCTATGATCGCGTGCTCAGTTCATAATTGTTAGAGCACAAAAAGTTATGTTGTTGATAACGCCAAAGAAGTAATACTTCTTACGTGCATACATAAATTTCAGTACGCACTATATTTTGTTGCTACATAATATCGGAAAAAAACAAGCAACTCAACGCAAATTTAGTGCAGACTTTATTGAGGCAAATTTAAGTTTGTAATGTTTATAAAAAAACGGTATAGAATATGTACGTGGTTTTGGATTTGTGTTCTACATTCCAAACCCCCTTAATCAGATGACTCGTGGCGCAGATGCCAAGGTATTGGCTTCGGCGTCGGGGGTCGTGGGTTCGATTCCCACACGGGACAGCTATTTTTGCGATCCACGGATAATTGTTTTGGATCTTGGTGTTTGTCCAGGTGAAATTGTGTTTGTAAATCGCTCTTACAACACAGGATAATGTTATCCTACAGGAAGGGAAAAAAATGGATTTCAATAGATAGGAGCGTAACTACATATTATCTAATAACCTCTTGCGAGATACACATGCTGAATCTCATGTGGTATTAAGCAACCTACATACTGTAGTATATTTGGAATATTTTATTCATACCATTATTCTATCATTACAGGGGTTGTGCGACGCTATCGAAGGAAGCAGAATTAATTTTGAGTGCCAAACAATAGTAACAATAAAAAAATAATTATTATTTGGTGAACGTCGACGCAGAACTAGTGTTGGGGCGGTATCAATGAAGAACAACACTAGCGTTCGGTACGTGAAACGGTACGACGTGGCGCAGCGCAGCACTAGAGTTGGATCAAGAATACAGCGTACATATAGGGCCACAGACCTATTGGTGGGTGAACATTTACCCTATGGAGTGTACAGGAAAGGAGAACCGTCGAAAAGCGTTAAATGAAGGTGGCGCCACTGTAGCTAGAGGGTAAATTTGAAAGAACGCGCCGAAAATTATTAGAGTGGGATAGAGACGTAAACAAGGAAGGGAGAAGCGTTTTAAGCAAAAGAAAAACAATATGTACAGTGATAAACTCATTTAACAATAAATTAAATATATAAGTAAAAAAAAGTTTGTGTGTACTTATGTACGCACGTAAGAAGTTATACTTCTTTGGCGTAACGAAAGAAAAACAAGTTGAATAATAATCAAAACATCGTTTCAAAAACTGACCTTGGCAAAACAGTAAACTCAACTTTCTAAAGATATAATAGACTTATGCATTCAAATGTGCAAAAGTAGAGCAAAATTGAAAGCGCCATCTACATTATTTGCTGAGAACTGTAACGGGCTTGGCTGTATTGAGAATATGCCGTTTAGCAGGCTTCAATGGTGTGACTTTTGTGTTACATCTTAAAATTTCACTCTCATCATTTTTTATAACTTGTAACTTCATATAAATGTTATTATGCCATAATAAAATAAAATAAAAATACCCTCTAGCTACTCCAGCGCTGTTGTGGATAATTTTTAACTGTTATATACTGCTTACGGATTTTAACCGACTTCAATAAAGGAGGAGGTTTCTCAATTCGACCGTATATATTTTTTTTATGTGTGTTCGTGGATAACTTCGTCGTTTACTGACCGATTTTGATGATTCTTTTTTTGTCGAAAAAGAGATATCCCAATGGTGGTACCATGATAAGGAAACCCGGATCTGATGATGGCATCCCAGAGAAATCGAATGCCATCATTGAATGTTATAGGTATTAACAATGTTATTTATTTTTCTGATTGCAGTCGGTTTTTTTGTTAAAAATTATTCAATTACTCTCCCTTGTGAATCGCTTCTCCTTGCCGGTAACCTCCATAATTTACCCGATACATTTTCTCCAAATATATGTAAACCGTGTGGTGATGGATGCGACGCGATATCGATATTGCTCAGCACTAGTGTTGTGTGTATCCGCGCAACATCGACACGATAAACCAGCACTTTTTCCATCATATATTCATTGTACTCATACTTTTAAAGGGCGCAGCACTAATGCGATATCCATGAAGTGTAAAATTTGTTCCTATATGTATAATTTTAATTATGTAACGGGTATTCTTTTAAACTATTGGACTGATTCGAAAAATCTAAGTAATTTATTCTAGATGTTATTTAGTTTATTAAGTTTTAGTCGGAAAGTTTTTAGTTCATATAGGCATATATCATATTCTTTGCGATGTACGAGAATTAAACAGGTTTCAACATGTATCGACAGAAGGAATCTCGATATAAAATAAAAATCTGAGATCTCGATACAAAAGAAAAATCTGAGAGAGTGGAAAGAGTCAAGGAAACAAATCATTCGTATGTTTTTTTTTTTTTCTTTTGAGATAAGATAAATCTGACGTGTTGTTCGTGATGTGCGTTGGCATTAATGGTAAGGATCTAATCAATGATAGACTAATATCATGCTAGCATATAATAAAATATTATAAAGATTTTTTTTTTTTCTATTTAATACGACCGCTACGCGCGTCTGTACTTAATGTGTGTTTTGTCTGTTGTATGTAATGTGTGACTGATATCTTATTAATGGGAATTTGTGTTAATAAGTGATCGATCAAATGTGATTTTCAATGTAAATAGATGCTTTTTGTCCTGTAAGAATTTAGTATTACCCTTGAACACGCGAGCGGAGCCGCGGTTAAAGCTAGCAAATGGTATAGAACCTCCCTAGACAACAATATACCCACATATAGTAATAACCAATTACGACGAATCGACATATCGGTACGAAAACATACGGTATGAAAGCAAATACAAAACGCGCTATTATTGTAAATAAACGGGATAAATAATAAACGCGTAGCCAAAACAAATATCTAGCCAAGGGCGGATCCAGGGGGGGGGTCATGGGGGTCATGACCCCCCCCCCCCCCCTGGGCTGAGTCTAGGACCTAGGTGGACCACTAATTAAAATTGTTAAACATAATGTTTTAATATGTTTTTTTGCCACAATATAGATTTTATGTAAGTTCCTTCAATATTTAATTAAATTAATATAATATTTTAACCGACTTCAAAAAGAGGAGTTTCTCAATTCGATTGATCGATTGATCGATTTTTTTTTTCGATGTATGTACACCGATTACGTTGAGATTTATGATCTGATTTACGTGATTCTTCTTTAGTTTGATGCAGAATAGTTGCCATTTGGTCCCATAAAAATTTACCATAGTTTGGCCAAGTAGTTTTCATTTTATGAACATTTTTACAATATTTTAATGTTAAATCATCAAATCAAATCTTGCAAATTAAATTTGATCTATTTCCCGGTTACCGGTTGAGCTGTAATTTTGTATACATGGGTAAATCGCGAGACAATGCAATATTTTTATGACATGGTGCTGATCTGATGAAGGAAGGCCATAGGAACTTCGAATCAAACCACAGAGCCTCATCGCGGTCTTTCATTGGTAACCCGGATCTGATGATGGAGCTCCATCCTCAGCCGTCCATGGACATATGCATAGGGTTGCTGATGTGTTTTCTCCTTATAATAAAGTGGGCTCCAGCTACCTCACTCACCAGACAAATCGCAGAAGTACTTTACGCCGATCTTCTGTGAGGTCTATGAGGCTATTCTGTGAGGTTCCTATGACTATTCTGTAATGAAACGACTCAACCGCATCGAGTTTCGGCTCGTTTGGTTCGTCTTGGCGAGTACTTAATTTTTAGATGGTTACCATTATCTGATGATGGAGCTGGAAGACAGTCATATGAACTCAGTAAAGAAACGACGCAACCCTATTGTGTCTCGGCTCGTTTGATTCGCTATGACGAGTTCTTTGGTCCTAGATGGTAACCAGGGTCTGATGACCGGGCTGGAATGTGGCCATAGGAACTCAGTAATTAAGGAACACAACTGCGTCGAGTTTGATTTGTCTTAATGGGTGGGTTTTTGATGGGTAGTGAGATGTGGTGGTTTAGTGGACGTGAGTATGCGAGACCATCTTTGGGAAATAAAGTTTTTTGTGAATGTGGATTCTGTCTTTGATTAGATGGATTAGAACCGCTGAATATTATGAATGAATGAATGAATGAATTTTTTTTTTGTAATTTATGAACATTTTTTTAATGTGGACGATGTCATTTTATTTTGTGTACGGCTATTTTAGGAGTTTTATTTTAGTAACTAATACGACAACATAAAATCTGCTAACGAAGAAGCAAATAAAATAAATTGCAAAAATAAGTAAGCCTACCAATAGCTACTTAAAAAAAAACTATACAGGGAGTATCCATTTTTTTATCAAATTCTAAACATAAATAATGTTATATAAATAATGACAAATATTTGAATTCACTCGTAATTAATTAATTACATTCATTTGAACTTCTCAGAAAGTGCGCGATTTATGGGCAACTCATTTATTTTACGCGCGATCATTCATAACTAACAAGCACACAAGTTCGTTTCAAAAGTATACGACGCATTTAGGAATGACTACCTCATTGTCAACAAGTTTGTTTTTAGGGAATAGAATGCCTTCTTCTCGAAATCTTTAAAAAAAAAGTTTGTTTTTATTTCAATTAACGATTATACTACCGAGTCGGAACCTCCTGTGTGAATTTGGGCACCTTTATAAAAGCCACCTTGTATAATATATTATAATAAAAAGCAACGAAATGTTACGTACAAAAAATAATTTTGCAAATCCGTCTATATCTGTCGAAGGTATACCCGAACATACCTACATAAAAAAATATAAACATCCGAATTGATAACCTCCTTCTTTTTGAAGTCGGTTAAAAATAAGTACCTACTTTTTACTTGTATCTACGATTATAAAAATTAAATCATAACTTCTTATCACTTGACCACGACTACGTGACCCCCCCCTGGCACCAAAGCTGGATCCGCCCTTGTATCTAGCACTAATTGAAAGTCATACTGAACATACCTCCCACTCATTTTAGGACTCCCAATCATTTTAGGTTATCTGCAATTTGTATTTTAACGTGTTACCACTAAGATTTAACTCGTTATCCGCCACCCATCGTGTCGCTTTTTTAAATTCGAAATAACTTATTAAAAATATACCGATTGATTAACATTAAAATGCTGTACTATAAACTATTGTATTTCCGTATTGTGTGAAATAAAATCAGTTTTGTATAATATGGCGTTTTTATTATTGCCCTATGTATTCAATGTGAAGAAGTATTCTCGACGTTCCAGCGCAAGCTTGAAGGTACCTGAAGATCCCAAGAAATTACTAAAACCTATGTAACCCTATGTAACTTACGCGGATTAATTCAAATAAATTGTGGTAGGGCCACGGAACAGCTCCGGCTGTTGCACGAATGGGCAGGTCCGTCCGGTAAGTCCCACCTCACAGATGACCAGCGTGAAGTGAAAATGTCATATTTCTGCGTTTCTAGTCTGATGAGTGAGGTAGTCGGGGCCCACTTTATTATAAGGTAGCAACACATGTGCAACCCTACGCGTGTTGCAAATGTCCATGGGAGGAGGTAACTTCAAGATGACGAAAAATATTACTCTTATATTAATTTACAAGTTAATAGTAACATTAAAATTATTTGCTTAGTTTCGCTTGATTTTGCAAAATAGTGAGAGACCCGTGGATACGTCTGCATGTTTTTATTCCTACAGTATTTCCACAAATCCAATAGAGGTATATAGGATTTTTATTACTCGTAAATCGAAGTGATCGTATTGTTATATTTTCAATACATTATTGTATATTCCATACAATTTTAAATTTATTACACTATTCTTGCGATATTGAATCCAACTCCGGCTAGAAAACGATAAAATGGGTTTCGGTGTGTTAATATGTTTCGTCGGTAAGTTAGTTTTATTGGCCTTAAAAATGTGGTGCTTAACTCTTCCTCAAAAAAAATATTCTTGCTATTGATAAGATTATCTAGTGTTGTAAACAAATTTAATATGATAATTTATCACGTCCTCATCTGTGAAAGAAAACAACGAAAACATATTTTCGAAATAATAATGAAAGATATATTGATTTCGAAAATATGTAAATTCTGCCAATCCTGTTGGAATCCATACAGAAGAGGCCTATCTTAGCCGTGGGACAATACAGTGTTACTTTACTTATTCTTATTCGGTCTGCTTAACGTTATGAATTAAGACATTATCATAATTAGAAATCCATCAGTCCGTATCAATGACGATTTATTAAATCACAAAAAACTCGAAGACAGTTTAATATAAGTTAAATAGCTTATTTTTTTCAAACTTGCGAAAAAACCATCAAATTTAGTTGCAGCGCGCGCGATGAATCCCAGAAACACGGCACCAACTGAAATCACCTTCAATAACGAGAAGCAAATTGCAGAGAGAAAATTGTTTGGCACCGGAAAGAAATTCTATCTCTTCGGGCTTAAGAACCCAAACGCCTCACTCGCCCTGCCGTTACACACGGACGACGAGCAGACCCCAGCGAACAATTTCACGGATATCGTCTTGCAATTCGTCAACTCGAGCATTTGCAATTGCGGCACCGAAAAGGCAAAAGAGAAGATACCGATAATAAAGTTAGTTTTAAAGGGCATCTTCAAGTTGCCGTTCGTGCAATATTTAATCGACGAAAACACTCAGAACGGAATACTTAAGCAGCTAACGGAATGCGCCGAAAGACCTGTAACGGCAAGAGAACGGAGAAAGAGGAAAAAGTCAAGAAACAAGCACAGGAACAGGAGCGGCGATATGGGCTTGAGGGCTTTCTTCACCGGCGCGATCGTAAACGGTGGAGAGTCCGAAGAATCGAAAAAGACAATGACGATCAAATTCAAATCGATACTCGACGACATACTAAAAACCGAAGGGGCGAAGTTACGCGAGGAGTCCAAACAAGCACTTATGAAATTAATACTAGAGTTGGATCGTTTGCGTAAAAGTAAAAATAGTGAGTTACATACGGACGATGGCAGTGCTAACGGAGAAGATAAAGGCGCTAGTCCCAACAAAGACACCGACGAGGATGATGACGCTAGCTTGACCTCAGATAACAAAGAATTTAGGGCCAACGATGGCAACGGTTCTACCAGGGGCGCAGCGAGCGATGAAATAGTCATCGATCATAACATGGAGATATCCGTGAGGATGAATGGGGGAAAAGCTGATTGAATTACTGCATGGTCAAATCAAGCAAGCTTATGATCACAAATAGAACTAAGTATCCTAGCAGTATGTCGATAGAAAGATCATTTGTAAAATTATATAGCGAATTAACTAACGACTTTTTATTTATGGCAAACGAGCTGGCGGTTCACCTGATGTTAAGAGATAACCACGTCCGTGGACTGCAACACCTGTAGTTTTCTTCTAGGTTTTGAGTTTTTCATCTAAAATTTTATTTAGATTTAATGTTACTTTTTCAGCCACGTCATCACCATTTTTATTTATTTACTCAGCTTCAACTTTTTCTTTTCGTCAAACTTTTTTTTAACTGAATGAAGTGCTTCCATTACCTCTTCCGTTGTGATATAATAATATGACAATAATATAATAATAGCTCGACACAAATAGGTTCTGAACCAGCCGTTAAGTCGGAGTCGTTTAGGTACCTTGGATCTGTTTTGCACGAGTCCGGAAGCATCGACCGTGATTTCAAGCCCGAATACGCGCTGCTTGGGCTAAGTGGCGAGAGGTCACAGGTATGGTCTGCGACCCCAGGATACCGCCCAAACTCAAGGGACAGGTGTACAAGAGCATCATCCGACCGGTACTTCTGTATGGTAGCGAGGGCTGGCCAGCTCTATCTCGGCACACTCAAGAGCTTCACGTCACGGAGATGAAGATGCTAAGGTGGATGTGTGGAGTCACGTGGGCTGACCGCATACGTAACACATTCATCCGAAGCATCTCGCGATCCGTGACGTAGCGGATAAGCTCCAAGAGCGACGCCAGAGATGGTATGGCCATATCGCACGCCGGTCGGAAAGATATGCCTTAATATGCCTGTCCCGGGAGCTAGACCTGGCCGCCCAAGAAAGCGATGGCTGGACGTTGTGAAGCAAGACATGAGAGCCAATGGAGTGACCTATGAGGATGTCGAAGATTGGGCAAAGCGGAGGAGTTTAAGTAGGAAAGGAGACCCTGGCAAAAGCTGGGATAAATGCTAGGTAGAAGAAGAAGATTGTGATATAACAATAGACTTGGTGTTTTTAAAGTACAGGTAGTGCCCTCTTTTGACGATTTTCGAAACTAAAGACAAAAATAGTACAACCACTCTCCAGTAGATGGCATTAGTATACGATTATTTTATCTTAGTTGCACAAGTAGTACCGCTATTCTTTGATAGATGGCGTTAATATGCGATGAGTTAACGTTTTGCTTATTCAATTTGATTTTTAGATTATATTTAAAAGTAAGTTTCCACGAAAATTTTAGCAGAACTTTAAAAGCCAATGTTAGTCTTTTCATTTTCATAGCCACTATTTTTTACTGTACTGATGTCACACAAATTGTCAGTTCCGCACAAGTTCTCATTTTTTTCCAAAAATACACCGAGTGTGCAGATGTTCTTTTCACTGTTTATTAGTAGCTTATTGTTAATGTCTTCGCTTGATTTTATTATTTGAACACCTTATTAAAATTTTATCCACAACGTCATTTGATAACATGATTTTCATATTTAATTTTGAAAGAAAACACGGAGCTGATGTTCGATAAAGATTTCTTGTTTTATTTATTTTTTTTGTGTGAGACGGTGGAAAACGAGCTGGCTGTTCACCTAATGTTAAGTGATAACCGCCGCCCATGGACATTTGCAACACCAGTACGGTTGGAGATGCGTTGCCACCAGGCATATAAAAGTACTCTTTGTTTGCCACCTTTAATTTCAGATATATATAAAAGTACTCTTTGGTTGCCACCTTCGACTCGGGAAGAAACAACGAAGCTAGTGCACGATGGTGACGAAGTTCCGTTACAACTCTGCCTTCTGTAGATGAGAGATAGAAAATCGAAACACGACACGATTCAAAGGCAATCGATAGAAATTGCGATTTAATTAATGATATTTTATACTACAGATATGTTGTCCCTTTAGGGGGACATTGAAACATTGAATGAAATAGGTTAACAAAACAAACTCGTAAACAAATAATTTAATAACATTTAAAGAAGATAAATGAACACTGTATATTTCTTGAAATATTTTACAACCGCTTCACAGAAAAATCAATTGTAAAGCCAACTCTGCCTTTAGTAAACATGCATTAGGTTAATTGCTAAATATTCTTTTATACCTTAAACTTATTGTACCCTACTTTATAGATATACGAAGTGTATATGCAATTATTTTTTAAACGAAATAACTTATAGACATATAAGTGTTACTTTCAAGTATAGATGGATGTTCTTTCATTTTCACATTAAAAAATACCAACACTGTTTGGCACAATACTTCACCATAAATATAGCTGAAATTTTATTGATATTGCCCATCAGTATTACAAAGTACTAATAACACTTACTTTGACATTACCGTAACATACTCGTAGACGTAAACAATGTTTTTCTTAATCTAGTCAAATCTTTAGTAATTTTATTCTAGTCAAATCGTTTTGGAAATCATCATAACATATATTATTTCTCAATTTTTGAAGTTATACTTCTTTTGGCGCGTTAGGGAAAAATGATGAGAGTAATTTTTTACGATTCACAGACCGCGCACACCGTCACGAAAAACCGACACCCTGAAGTTAGCTAGACTAGACGTCTACGTGAGAAGAGACAACTATATTTATTTTGTGATATTTTAATAAATTTTATTTAACTAGATAATGCGTTATAATAAAACTTTCAATGTATTAAATACCTTTTTTCTATTGTTAGTGTCGTTTTTTCTACAAACGTAGAATAAGGCGAAAGATAAAATTTTTGAAAAGATTTTTATCTTGTTACGCCAAAGAAGTATAACTTCTAACGCGTGTACATAAATAAGTACACACATTTTTTGTTGTGAAAGCACCATTATGATGATGAATTGTTTTTTACGAAGGATAGTGATGTAAGCTAATATTATCGTGTTAAATACTATATCAATTAAACTGATACTTAACACTAGTATTCAAAATACTACATTCACATAATAGAATATATTTTGTATAACATGCAAATGGAAGGCACTTGATTATATTAAATCTTTCAATGAAGACAGTGTAAAATATTGATATGTTAGTTATGAAAAATAATATTTTACATGTTAGAAATCATAAGATATTTAAATCTTTGTGTATCCATTAAAAAATCTAAAAATAATGTACAAGATTAGTCTTCTTATAAATAGTAGTTTTCATCAAAATTTTGGCATATGTTTTGAAATCACAGACACATACTTAATATAAGTCTATCAATGTTGTAGATTAAAATATTCCAACATAAATCAGTATATAACTTTTATTTAAAGTTACTTTCGCCTCTTTTATAAGTTTTCCATGGAAATCCAAGCAATATTATTCAAAACCTACTCATTTATTATTACAAAATTTCACATAGTATTTGTTTCAATATTGTTATGAGCATTATTATTGTTTGTAAATATCATTTATCATTATATTCTTATGTTTATTGTCTAATATTAAATATTAAATTATTTTTAGCAAGCAAAATTTTTGTACCATTATTATCCACTTTATAAAAAGATATATCACATATAATAAAAAAAAAACTTATCATCAATGTGTCATTAAAAATTCCATTTAGTACCACATGCAAAAATTCCATAAAATTCATCATGCAAGTATAAATTTCCATGATGGATACTTTGACAAGTGTTAAATATTTTAAATATATGTCCGTTTACATAATATAATAAACATATTCAGGTTTATTTAGAATAAAGTATACAACAAGTCTTTCCAGGTCTTACATTTCTGTCTAGTGTTATCAACCAGCTAAGATAGAGTTACTCCTTCTACTCCTTTTAGCTCGCCTTTCATGCCATTTACAACTGTGCTGCACCATTTGGTACCGTCTATTGAAATGGCCCCCGCACTTCTTGCAGCTGAACCTCTTCACCTTCATATGTCTCTCCCTTATGTGGCCGACGAGACTCTTCTTCAGCATTTCTTTGCCGCAGTAGTTGCACACCGCTTTTGAGTAATAATCCGTGCTATCTTCGAAGAACGCCCGCTTCTTGCCCTTGTCCTCGACTTCATCCTTGTCTCTGACCTTACATTTGATCCTATCTTTGCCTTCTTTACTGTCCCTCCCTTCTTCCTTGGCTGTGGATGGTTCGTCTCTGACCTTACTTTTGATTCTGGCTCTGTTTTCTTTGCTGGCGCTACCTTCGTCCGTCGCTGTAGGCGGTTCTTGAACATTCTGAGTGAGTTTTCTGATTGCTATAACATTGGGCGTCAGCTTGGTCATCTCGACGTACACGTCCGAGCGGAGGACGCGCTCCACCCAGGTCTCGTTGAGCAGCTTGGCAGAATGGGATGTCTGCTTACCCCCGAGATTGAAATGGGTGCGCCGTATGTGCCACAAAAGGAGTCGATTCTCGCAGTACTTCACCTGGCAAACCCCACAACGGTAGGTTTTACATTTGGAACCTGGTGTTTTGGCATGGTGAGCCTGGATATGTTTGATCAGGTTCGCCTTATTCAGGAAGCTACGGCCGCAAGTGTCGCAGATATAAGCCCTCCTCTCTTTGCTGTGTGTGATAGCATGACAGTTGTATTCATCGCTACGGTAGAACTGTTTTGGGCAGTGCTGGCAGTTGAATCGGGGCTCTACCTGCTTGTGCCCATATAAATGTGCTCTGAATTTGTAGGAGTTGCCCACGATGGTCTTCTCACAAAAGACGCAATGATGTACATTCGTCTTTTTTTGCTTTGGTGATGTCTTTTTCATTGTTCTGTGTCTCTGTCTGTTTAGGTGCTAGTGGCTGCGAAGGCATCAGGTGGCTGATTTTATATCTGGAAAAATAATAAATTGAATGTGAAAAGCGCAAAAAAGTGTTAATTGAAACAATTTTTATGAATTTTATCGCATTACAGACATTTCAAATACTTTACAGCAGTAATGGACATAGAACTGAGGTGTTAAATGTTATCACTCTTAAATGCTTTAAAATGGGAAAAGTATTTGGATGAAATAGAAGGAAAAGCCATTGACATTTGAACGACAATTTAACAGTATTTGTTATATTTATCTTTTCTTTGGCACAATTGCCAAGATATTGGATTCAGTGAGGGGAGTTTTGGGTTCAATTCCTATACAAGACAACTATTTGTTTGAGTCAAAGATATGTGTTTTGAACCTGGGTGTTTGTCTAAGTGAAATTTATATCTTTAAAATCTTAGTAAACCTTTTTACGAACAATGTGCGGACGAAGGAGAATGAAATGTCCCACACTTTATAGAGGAGTGCAGAATGCTAATATCTTTTTAATGATGCATAAAAAATACATTATCCATACAGAAAACATTACACACACTACCATGTATTTGACACACACACGCATTTATACTTTTTTGTTTAATAGAGTAATATTGTTCAAACTTATAATTTAAATTAATTATGGTAAAATTTCGACTACTCACCATCCACTAGTTATTATTAATATCAATAATAATAATTTTTGAATGTCATAGGAACCCCCTGAGAGCGGGGGATTTGGTCGGAAATTCATAGTTTTTTTAATGATTTTTTTAAAGTGAAATATTGAATTTATTTTTGGGTTTTACCAATAAAAGGCTTTAAAAATGGTAATTTTATACATACATGACACCTGCTTATAGGGGCGGACGGTGAGAGGAGTGCCTTACTGTAGTTTCGGTCAGCCACTATTTTGTTAAATGGTGGTTCTGGCAAATTGTAACCTTAGATAGGGAAGTAAGAACCAGTACTTCTGCCTTCTCTTTGGCCCTGCAAGAATGGCATCCTCTTTGCCTGCGTAACAAAGTCACAGGCATCACATGACCCGTAGCATTCAGACGTGTTCAGTCTCAGGGCTGGTAGGTCTATCAACAAGCCAAGGTGCAATGCAGATGGTGGCTGCCCTACCTTCGCTCTAAAAACACTAGGGGTAGGACTGATCAAGATCATGGTGTGTTGTCAAAGTTGGTTCTGAATTCAAGTTTGTTGTAAGGCCACATTTACTTTTAAATTACACACACATTTGAACCAATTAGTGTTGTTAACAAATCTGAATTAATAATATGATATTGCATGCTCACTGTTCATTCCACATGTAAGTTATACTCTGTGCTATGTCTGTGGTGTGAAATATCCTCTTTTTCAATACAATGCTATCAATAATTCTAAAATTAATATCTCCGAACCTATTCATTTCCGACAGTTGGAAAATCGATTTATTATATTAGCAGGAACCTACAATAATAGTTATAACATCCTAGCTTAATGTACAGATAAAAGTGTCTAGCCACACAATGCTACCAGACGTCAGTCTTTTTTAAATTATTAAAATAAAATGTATACCGAATCTTCGATTCACAGTTATCTAAAAAATATTTAACTTATACGATTTAGAGATAAATATGCAAAAACTAAGAAAACACTTACTCGATCATCGATGACAGCTAACATGTCCAAAGAAAATACGATACACAGTTCACATACTAAAAAACAAAAATTAATCAACAAAAGAAAAGAAATAAGACAAAAAATATCTAAATAACAAGTGCTGAGTGGTTAGTTCAAAATTTTTTAATTTGTTTACGATTAATTTCTTATGACAGTGACAAGAAAAACAAGCCTGGACAAGACACGTCACGTCAATGTTGTCAATTGTTGTAATATTTTGATTTCTCCAGGAATAGTCACAAATAGACTGTACATCATTCGTACCATGAAATTTTTTAACTTTAAATAAAATTTATTTGTGGTAGGGCCACGCGTCAGTTCACTGATGCACGAATGGGCAGGTCCGTCCGGGGAAGTACCATGACCTCACAGAAGACCGGCGTGAACTAGTAGTAATACTTCTAATATTATGCTTCGACGTTTCGTCTGGTGAGTGAGGTAGCCGGGCCCATTTCATTAAAAGGTGGCACTGACAACGCCTTTGCAATCCTATGGGTGTTGCAAATGTCCATGGACGGCGGTTATCACTTACCATCCAGCTCACTTGCAATTCTATCACATCAGAAATAAAAAAAAAAGTTGATATACAATAAGGAACGTACTAAAACATTCTTATACTAACTAAGCATATACGAAATGACTCCCGCGATTTTGAATGCAAGCCTTCAACCTGCGCGGCCAGTTATCTATGGCAGCGATTGAAGTCATCATATTATCAATAGCGGCGACCGCTTTGATCAAGGATACCTGGAATGACTCCAGACCTGTATGAGGTTTTGAGCAGGCCCTTTCCTCTAAATATTGCCATATTTTATAACCCAATGGATTTATGTCACTTTTGTATTTACTTTTTTACAAAACTCCAATTAAAATAACTGGAAGTATAACAATTAAAATAAAGATCAACGTGATAGTTTACAGTATAGTTATAACTATGGTTATGATGAAATGTACTGTTTATTACATATGTACTTAAATCTATCATTAAAGTGTTATCGATACAATCCGTAAATCTAATGGTTATTCACTAACTACGAGTAAATAGCAAAGACTGCATTCTAGCAATCAGTACTTGAGTAGCTTGTTTCTAGACAAGGCAAAATACACTTTAATCAGTTAAATATTAGGTTTTCTCTTAAGTGTAGTTCAAAATAAATATTCCATTTTTGGTAAAATTATTTTATTTTATAAATATACAAAAATATTATTTGCATTGTTATTTGCTGTGATGCGAGACCTTTTCTTTTGGGAAATTTTTTTCGGCTATTATTTGTATACAGTCATAATTACTCAATACGGAATTATAATAAGATTTTTGATCAGGAGGACATGTGTGACAGGGCGTGCATCTCCATTCTCCACTACTAGTGGTGGGCGATACATATCGTATCAGATATGAAAACTAGATATTAGTACAATATCCGAATATCGCTTACTGGCTCGTTCAAAATCTATGTATTTTACAATATCTGATATTTCCGAAATCTGATGTACCGTGCTCGCTCGCTATACCGACACGAATTGCGATATCGTACGCGTTTGCCACAATATCTGATTTTTAAACAGATTTCGAGAGACAAAGCGCGTGAGATACAAATACTCACTAGTTAGAGCGGGACGGCAAGCAATGCACGATATCAGATATCGAGCGACAAAGCGCGTGAGATATAAATACTCACTAGTTAGAACGGGACGGCAAGCATAGCTCGATATCAGATATCGAGCGACAAAGCGCGTGAGATATAAATACTCACTAGTTAGAGCGGGACGGCAAGCAATGCACGATATCAGATTTTTAAACAGATTTTGAGCGACAAAGCGCGTGAGATACAAATATTACACTAGTTAGAGCAGTACGGCAAGCAAGGCACAATATCAGATTTTTAAACAGATATTTTGAATAAGTTAAGTAATTTTGAATCTTAAAACCATGCAAATAAGATCCGTTTCAATTAAATAGTAATTATGGTATCAACGATTACTACAACGATATTATTAAGTATATTTTTATTGTTTTGTTTAGCCTTGAGCCGTAACGGGCGACAAAGCGCGCAGTTAAGTAATTTTGAATCTTAACAGCATGGAAAAAAACATTTTTAGTTGCATTTAAACACGAATTACGGTATTAACGATGTCTTTAAATTTTGTTTAACCTTGAGCTGGATTGCATTGCTACCTAGCACGTAATAGTAAGGGATGCCAATTTACTACTTAAGAATTTTCTGCCCAAATTAAGGAAGAAAAATATAAATAGAAATTTTTTAGGAGGTAAATTTATTCATATTTTTGGAAAAAAATAAAACTAAACAAAAAGAAAAATATAATTTAATAGTGCTGTGCTGCTTGGGTGGAAATCAGACCAAGTCTTATGTGCTTTGTGTGTATATTTTAAATTCTTCCGCCCTAAGTTATAATACTGAATGTATTATTTCTTACACAAATTATAAAAATATTGTTACTCATGATTGCGTGTTCTAAGAATATGTTAAAGTCAATTATTAAGCGATATATAAGATGTTGAAATAAATCATTTTTATATTACTTCAATTTCTATTTTTAATGAAATTTTTAATTTAATCAGGTAATGTTTTAATTTTACCTTAATAGTATTTAAAATCGTGATTTTAAATTCAGTAAGGTTTTTGAATTTAGTAAATTTTAGTGGGTTTTCGAATTTATTTAGAAGTATTCTTTTTGAACAGTTGGTATCACTGGTAATAGCTTTATTTATGTATAGGTATAATGATCGTCGAACAAGACTTTCGACGAATAAAGTCAAACAGCTTACGTTCCTGAATTTAAACCCGGAGGAATGAAAATAATTATTAACCCACACATAATTGTAAATATATAATGTAAAGTTTTAAATATCAGGAAAATTATGTACATAGAATGAATCAATTTTTAAATACGCCTGCACAATTTATATTTATAATAAATATAAAATCTTGTTGAAAAAAAAATTTGTATAGTGAGGTATGAGTTGTGAGGTATAATGATCGTCGAATGAATGAATGAATGAAATGAAGCAACTTTGAAATACGCCTGCACAATTTATATTTATACTAAGTATAAAATATTGTTGAATTTTTTTTTGTCCTTTTTTTTTTAGAATTCAAGGTGGATACGGGACCGTAAAATATCTAGATATAAAAATACATAGTTTCGAAATCTGATTCAGATACGGTACTCAGAAAAAGCGATACGACCCTTCTCTATCCACTAGCGATAACTCAATAGCAATAACTCATATTGCCTTCAGTTAGTGACACTTTTGCTTAACTGTGGCCGTTTTCTCTATTCCGTGATTTAAACTAAGTTTTTGGAAATAACATCAAACAAAATATAATCTTCTAAATATATAAAACTCTTCTCAAAGTCAAAGTACCTTTATTCAATACAGGCTTAACTTACTCTTATTGAACGTCAACAAAAAAAACTACCACCTTCTGAACGTGTGTCCATGTCACTGAACTCCTCCTAAACGGCTGGACCGATTTTAATGAAATTTTTTGTGTATTCAGGTCGATTCAAGAATGGTTTAAACAATTTTTTTAAACAATCGACAAACAGGGGGGCACGACACAAAGAGCCCATCAGATGGAGGTTCGAACCTCGGCTTGGATCGCAATCGATAAGGGGACCTACTCAGAAGAAAGAAGAAGGTTGAAATTGCGACTCTCCGTAAGTCTAAGCTTAAGAATGAATAATTATATGTTAAATATTACTAAGATCGTGTTGATGATCTTCATACCTAAAAATATTTGAATAGAATAAAATACTCCCCAGGTGTCTTTGAGCTAATTGTAACCACATCTCTCGTCTTTTGGGATACTTGGAAGAGAAACAAGTCCGCCAATCCGCAGTGGGGCCGCGTGATGGACTATGCCCTGATACCATCTGTACAGAGGAAGACTTTGCCCAGCAGTGGGACATTTATAGGCTGGTACTTTACTCTATCGGAAGAAACTGAAAAAAAATTATGGTAATTAAAAAATAAAAAATTCAGCTTTATGTACTGTTCTATTGTGTTTATGATTACTACTTGTTTACTTGCTCGTGATGTCACACGTCACGTGATCAGGGCATTTAAAGTAACATTATTTTTGGCAATGGAATTAATAAGATGCTCGTAAATAATCTATTGTCTGATGAAATATGTATTATGTAATTACATCTTTATTAACTACATTATCTTAATCTTCAATTGTTTCACTGCTATCCTCTTTGAATTCGTCTTGTAACTTCTTACATATAGTTTTCGTAACCAGCTCCACTTTATTGGAAATCGAGTAAGCTGTTTTAATTTTATTGTTTTTTCTGTCTTTTATTTCATTGTCATTTAAATCACCGTAACGATTTTTTGTTGACAAAAAAGGCAAAAATCCAGGTTTACTTAAAGTTAGTTTAAAATCTGAGTTTGTAGAAGTATTTAAATTGTCTATATTAAATTCTCTTTTATTTTTATTAGGAAGTGGCCTTAACAAACTAAGAATTGAAGGCTTTTTAGTTTTTATTACTGATTTTGTTTTTATATCCATCAAGCCACAACTTTGGACACAAGCATAGTTTTTGTGACCGCTTCTCATAACTCTTGAATAAATAATATGGTTCGTACTGTTGATAATCCTAAATACTATCGAATGTGGTAAAACCTGAAATATATACAGGTGAAAAAACTATTAATATTGTATTGCTAATATTAATTTCAAAACTATTTCAAATATGTTATTGTAATAAAAAAAAATACCGTATATAACGTCAAAATTTTACAGCTTTCCTGCCCTCCGCAAATAACTTTCAAAGTATGTTCAGATTGTAGATCGTCATATTTACTGGTTACTTTCCATTCAGTCTCTATAGGGTTGTTGCATGTTATTAACAACTCGTTGATATTAATAAGAGAGGGGCATGCGCTATGCAAATTGTTATACTCATTTATATGTATCGCACATAGCTCTCGATCATTGGGCATAGACATAATTTCGTATGGACATGGCGGAGGCTTTTCTTCAATGACCTGTAAAAATTGTCTAGTCTGTATTATATAATTTAATAGTTACCTTCCTTATCTTTACACCTTTTGACGCCCGATTTAGCTGCACACGATTGCACGTTTTTGTTTTACTGTATTCTGCTTTTAGCCCGGCGACTTTGACAGCCTCGTCGGAAGAGTCCGTAATTAAATAACTCGTAGACTAGGGAGAAACAACTTAGTTTTTGTGAAGCCGTCCGCCTTGCTGTATTCGTGCACTATGTGTCCGCAAACTCCGTTATTCAAAGATGGGCATTTCGACTAACATGGAGACACGACACGGTTCAATGGACCCTCAGATGGAGGTTCCAACCTGGGCTTGGACCGCCATTGACGGAGGAACCTGCCCAGAGCAAGTAATCTGAACAATTCAGTATATCAAAATGTGGCAGAAACGAAAATTTAAGTTACAATTCTTCTTTGAAATTTAATTTTTATAGCAGTCGTTGGGCCTTCTCAGAACCTTTTCATTTGCACTTATGATTGCACATTTTCACTTTTCCACACAGTTTCATTCTTTAATTTCTATTGTTCATGCTTACCCAGTTTCATCAAGCCCATTATGATACTGTCACGTAGCATGAAAGTAAATCGAGAAAATAATTAATTTTAATCAGAAGGCTACGGGAATAAAACATAATTTACTCCCGTAGCCTACTGGATACAAAACCATATTACTCGTCATTATACTCTATCATATATACATATTTATCTAATCTTTCATACTTTGTACGTTAAAGTCAATGGTGATATAAAAGTAAAACTCATAGTAATGAAATCAAAAAACAACAATGTCTTACCCAATACCCACTACTTGGGCAATTTTTACACGTCGCGTTCACAACACTATTGCACCTGTAGCAAACGATGGTTCTATTCCCCTTATTTTCAATTTGCCTCCAAGTCCGCCAATGGAAACTCCTTTTGTATATATATTTTACACCATTCATGCCCAAAAGCGATCGGAAGCTGTTTTCCATCGCTATTATTTCATTTTTTCGTACACCTGACTTTTCAATATCTACATGAGGTATTCCATCAACATAAATGGTGTTATTCATGATCTGTTCCAATATTTTAACTTTTTGTTTTTCAATGTTTTTTCTCAAAAACCGATTTCTCAAATTTTCCGTCTCCCTCTGGAATGACTGTTCATCGTTTTGAAGCAAGAAATTCAGCTCTTCGTCATCGGTAAATTGATACGTAAGATTCATTAGTTGCGCGAAAATGGTTATTAGAAGTATCGGTGACTTGTTTTTTGAATACATTACCGAATGACGAAGGCGTTCTAAGAAAAGGCGTTAATGACTTCAAAATCGGATGGAATGCGATTTTATTTACCAAACATCCCCGTCGCCCTAATCGCGTGATGCGATTAAATTGTTTACATTTACGAATAGTGTTGTGACCTTATTGGACGCTATGAATCAAGTGTAATAAGACATTTTTTAATGGAACGAAGTTCCTTACGGCAGGCTTGGAGGGGATAGGGATTTTGCTGCGCGACCGAACTGAAAAAAATGTGATAGTAAAACCGTAAGAAAAAATCCGTGGAATAAAACCGTTAGATGAGACGTGCGCAGGCGCGACAGTCGCATAATTTTATGTTGTCAAACAAAAATAAAGAGACATATTTTGTTATTTTAGTTGATAATTTGAATTACGATGTTTTTTTATTTTAAGTAAATTTATTATTTCCTAAAATACTGAATTTCCTAAATACTTTCTTGTACTTAAATAAAAACTAATCAGCAAAATTTAAGAGAAAAATCAAGAAAACCTACATAAAATTGAGCACGATTTTTTTTACAATTTGTGTCGATTCTACATTAGCCGAAGGAACTTCGTTCCTACCTGGTGTCCCACGACACCACATCATTTTTTTTAAACTATTACTACCAATAAGTCAGATGTCTTATTCACTTATGAAGGTAGTTGCTGAATTAGGGCGTTTCGAGATAATGAAGTATACCAATATTGGCACAAATCGAAATGACTGTATGATTACTTATTTTATTGATGATTAATGATTATTATGATTTAACGCTCCTTTGACAATTTTTTGGGAAATGGGCCAATTAGAACTCTATTTATACTCGTGTTGTAAGTAATCCCTGGGTACTTCTATTAAATTTTCTTAATTCTACCTTGTACTTTGCTGAAGAGCTTTTTAATAAGGTCATCATAATAATTGTGAAATAATCTGAAAAAAAAAAATGAAGTCTAAGTATTAGAAATTGGAGTCATAAAAGTCCTTATAACTTTTTTTCACCAGCATTTGACTGTATAACCAGAAAATACATAACTTTCAAATACCAAAATAAGCAATGAGTTCACTGTCTAACTTATAATTTGTACGTGGATGTAAACGGGTGAGAGCAAATTCTAATTAAATTGAAGAATTCGAAATGCTTCATTACTTACAATTAAATAGAGAACAGATTATAAATGTGATTATAGTACGTATGTGTATTAATGTGATAGAGTACAATATAATTACGTTATTAGACAGCGTAGATTATTAACACTGCTAGTTTTACCCCACCACTATTAAATACGTCAAATCACCTACTCTACAACTTCATTCACTTCATAATTTCGTACACGATTCACGTACCGACTCGTCTCGCATTCATTGTTGAAACTTCTTGGGGTGATGGTTCCATCTGTCATTCCGTTAAAACTTCCCACTTCTGTGATGGACTGTAAAATTTATTTGGATAGAAACGCTGTGAAATGTCCTAGTGAACGGGGGTGTTTGTACGTGGTTATTTTATGAATTTAAATTTGTGTTTGTGACCTTCTTCGCAAGTATTCCTGCTTAAGACATATCCCGTGAGTATCTGTTTTTGTTTGTGTATGTCGTTTACGAAGCAATTCACTGTAGTCGTTAAGCGATAAAGGTTTTCTTGATTCCAAGTACTTGTATCACATCTGAAGTAGTCATTTGGAAAACTCTTATTACATTTTCAAAACGTCTTGCACGCATTCTTTATGACAAAACTTAAGTCTTATCATCAACAAAGTATGTAAGTTAATATCACTTAACTTGTACGATATTGAATAGAATTTCTTTTTATTACGAAGTATTTACCATTTATAAATGATTCAGTCATTGTTAAAGTTTTATCTCATTAAGACAAAGAACTAAAGAACAATGATGTAATTTAACTGATTAATGACTAAAGCAGCTGTTAATTGTAATTGACGTATCATATCGTATTATATTTCTATTTAATAGATTATTGTTTGTGATATTTTAAGAAAATATAGGAGGATTACTTTACAATATTTACCTACTATGCAAACAGGCCAATTACATTCATTCTCTATAATGTTTTCCATGTTGCAGTAAAAAAATCTTAAGTTTGTAGAATTGCATGTATTTCATAAACATGTTATTTGTTTTTAGTTACCAAACTAGTAATATAAGTTACAAGTTTTAACAATTGGATCAAAATTATTATAATAATTTACTAAAGTATCATATCACAATTTTTATACTGTCACAGCCTGAACTTGCTCTTTTGAGGAACCAAGTAATGACCATCAAGTTCAAAGTTTAAAAAATTAGCTAAATGTAATTTATTTCTTAATTATATATGATTTAACTTGTCATTATCATCCTTTTGCCCTTACCACACATAGGTGGGGGGCATAACATTATGTTGTAAGCGGTTTTGGTTGAGTGTTTACGACTGTCTGTCTGCTTGATGTCAACCTTCCTTGGGAAACATGTAACAAACGGAAGGAAACAGATCACACAAATGCTTGTCCTGTGTGGGAATCAAACCTTTGACCTCAGATGCTAAACGGCGCCACCGAGTCATCTATATGTCATTGAATATAATTTTAACTATAATTAGAAATATGACAATAATATAATTATGACACTCATATTATGAAGTAAAGGACCAACTGTAATCTTCCATTAGTCATAAAGGACTACTTTATCAGATTCAACCTAGAACTGTTCATCGATTATATAATATCTTATACAAGACATAACTAGGACATAATTTAATGGGTAGTTAAAATAATTATAGCAATAATTTGCTGTGTGGAATAATTAATATAATTAACTTATAAATTAAGTTGTTTAGCTGGTAATACATATTTTGATATATTATGACTATGTGTATAGTATGGTGCAGTTGCCAAGGATTCGGCGCTGGGGGTCGCAACAAAATGGCGAATTTCTATAGTGAAAATTACACTATTTAATTATTTTTTTTCGATTACCATGACCAGAGAATTCTGCTTGTGGATTAATTTATTAATGATTTTTCTTTATCGTTTTTAATTTATTTTATTTTCATGAAGCCAACATCTATATCCTTTACATTAACCAAAAATTATATAAAAAAAATATAAATTAAAGATGTATTATTTTATCATCTACCATAACAAATCCTTAGTCTATATCTGGCTTGAACGCTGGCTATGCTTTCAGCAGACTATCCATTGTTTAGAACTCAGCCAGAAACCACCTATATAATCTGATTATATACATATATACAAGCTCATTAAAAAGTATATGGTATACAATGAGAACAATTACATCCAGAATGCCTTTCTTAATTTTACACTATCATGAAGCATGATAGATATGTCTGTCTATCTCTTTGTTCTGGCTAATATATGAAATGACTGGACCAATTTTGACCAGACTTTCACTGGCAGATAGCTGATGTAGTAAGAAGTATCTTAGGCTACTTTTATTTTAGAAAAATGAAATTGAAAATTATTTATTTTAAATTACACGCGGATGAAGTTACGGGCACAGCTAATGTTTAATATTTTGCTATGTGTATATTGTACGAAGAATTCTTAAAAATCTAGTCTTAAGTTTAAAAACAATAATTTATGTTTTACACATAGCTTGTACAGGTTCTCTTTTAACCAATGGATGGATGAATGGCTGCTACATTGGCTGTTCATTGAGTTTTGGATTCGCACCCCACACAGAAAAAATACCCTCGGTACTCTATAAATCGTTTTCCGAGTGTAAACTAGTTTTCTAGGTGTACTTTGTGTTGATTGTTCCACATTTGTGAAATCTCATTTGTGAAATATGTTTTATGACTAAACTGCTTATCAAAGTAAACGCACCACACGTCAATGTCAAATGAACTCGATATAGAAACAATCTGGCCGCAATCCAAGAATTATGATAGATTAAAGAAGTAAAAGAAAAATGCACGATTTATAGATTTTTACAAAACGCGTTCCTTTTGGATTGGCGCCAAAAGATGACTATGACTGGACTCTTGTCTATGACAGTGAAATGGCCACAGAGGGTATTAAACTTCGTTCGCGTTTTTTTTTTTTATATACTTGAGCTTTACCATATAGATAGAAGATAAGCGGTGATGAGGTCGTAGGTGATGATCGTACCAGTCCATTATAAGGCCTTATTCAATCTGGCCTTGAAGATATAGTTTTTGAACGGATGGAAGGCATTTTTTTTTGGGTCTAGGCAATTTTTTTCCAAATCTTGTAATACTCAGCGCCGAGTATTATTTGTATGGAGGTAAGTCGCCCAGTGGTCGAAATTCGACCGTAACTAATTTAAATTATAAGTTTGAACAATATTAATCTATTCTCAATTTGACCGCAGACTTTAACGATAAAGAAAAGAGCATATATATGCGTTTGTGTATCAAATAGGTACATGTTTTTTTTTATATTGATTATATTTATTTTCTATGCATCATAGAAAAAAATATTAGCCTTCTTCACTCCTTCTCTATATGTTTAAACTGTAAGTGTGGGAAATTTCATACTCCTCGGTCCGCGCAATTTTCGTAAAAAGGGGCACAAAGTTTTCGATTCACGTATTCATTCAGATAAGTAGTGAAAATTTACGGAACCGGGACGTGATCCTTCATTGCTGGACGTATGAGGAGGCTCAAAGTCGCTGAGCGAAGTTCGGAAAGGAGACATCCGTAGGTGAACAAGATAACCGATATGAATCGGAAGATTAGTGAGCCGAAGTGGTCGGGGGGTGGGCCGCCCATATGTATAGCTCATGGATCCGATAATCGTTTGGGCAGAAAGGTTCTCGAGCGGCTGCACCCTTTGTTGTTGACTCCGTGGCGCAGTTGCCAAGGTATTGGCTTCGGCATTGGGGTTCGAGGGTTCGATTCCCACACGGGACAGGTATTTGTGAGACCCACAGATAGTTGTTTCGCATCTGGGTGTTTGTCCGCGTGCATTTTATGTTTGTAAAACGTCCTTACAACACAGGATAATGTTATCCTAAAGTGAGGGCAATGTTTATAAAGAAAAAAAAGGCAGCGTTGTCACTTTAATAAAGTGGGCCCCGGCAACCTCACTCACCAGACGAATCGCAGAAGTGTAACTTCCCCTTCACGCTGGTCTCCTGTGAGGTCGTGTTACTTCCCCGGACGGACCTGTCAGCATCAGCGAAGACTATTGCGCGGCGATTTTATGTTCTAACCGCATGCCCCAATTGCTGCAAGAGAACACAAATCACTGAAGACGAATTGCTTGTAAAAATCGTTGTTTCTTAGAAAAGAAATTATTAAACTTAAATAAACTTACATTAAATGAAGATGTCAAAGATGTAAGGTAAAGAAATAAAACTTGGAAAAGTTAATTGAAATCTATGCAGTAGTTTTTCTGCGATGCGCGCTCAACGTCAGACCTCTAACATGTTATCTCATCCTTTAATCCTTTAAACGAGCAATTCTTTTATATATACAGGGTGTTACAGAAAGATGTAGTAACATTTAAAGCCGTGTATATATATCAGACTTTGAATGAAATGGCATAATTTTAAAATACGAATCTAAGCATTTTTTGACGATAAAAATTAAAAAATATTAACTGTAACAACCCTGATTGTAGAAGTCACTGACCGCCCATCGGTGTTATCACTCCAAACTCACACACGCATACATCTGATCGCCCGACTTATTCCCCTCTCCCTCCACTCCTCGTTACGTCATTACCCCACTTCCCGCTCCTCAAGTTTATCGGTCCCCTCCGCCCGCCCCTCGCCAACCAAACTGACAACGACCGCATCGCGCTGCAGGTCCTGGCGATGCTATGAAACAACGTGCTTATCATAAAAATTTATTTAAATTTATCGGATTTTATCACAACAGATAGACACGAAATAGCTATACTGGTAGTCCATGAGCCCTACTTAATATGTTATTGACTTTTCTTTTGATTAAAGATAGGTATTCATTATAAGGAAATAAAACACAAACACACTATTTTTACTACGTTTATTTTTCAAAACATTTTTTACATGGAATTAATGATAGAATCCTATAGTTGGTCAAACATATTCACAATGTCCACTGTAACTTATAATTTTTTAGTATTGAGATTTTGAATTAAACATTAAATTGCTTGCAGTGGAAGGTACAAACATTTTAGAAGGTTACACTTACTCACAAATCTTACAACGCCGATAAATTTATTCAACACAACATCAGTGAGATACATTATCATGTTATAGCGGATACATAATACATAATAATGACAAAAATAAATTTCGAATTAAGTAAGTTCAATGTAATTATAAAGTTAAAAAAATAAAATCTTTATTTTAAATAAATAACCTATACCTAGACATTCCAATGAGATCAGCGTTTACTAAGAAAACTCGTGCTTATCGGTGTCGGTCGGTTCCATTACGCGATAATATTCTTTCACTGTTATAGCACTTCAGCACTTGGGATAGTCATTGTCACTAACTTAAAACACACCAAGGTCAAGGGTTAAGGGGACGACGCATATAGGGCGCGGATGCAGACGAGGGCCGATCCTACCAACTCCTTTTTAACACAACTGGCAGC